ATATTTTAAAAATTTGACAAAGATAGGAAATGATTATGTTCATTGTCATGAACATAATCAGTAGATACAATAAGTGGGAATAGGTGACAAGTGACAGCATGGCTTATACGTACAAATATAAAGATAAAAGATCAGATCAAGGGGAAAGTCTGTCTGGGCACTTTCACATTGACGAAGTCTAAAATGCAAATGAAAAGGATACAAGGCAGAAAGAAGGGTGTCTCATTCAATCTCCTCTGCCTTCTCTTGTAGCAGAACCCAGGTGTTTATCTTCCACTCCCTCCTCAACCTCTCTCTCTCTCTCTCTCTCTCTCTCTCTCTCTCTCTCTCACACACACACACACACACACACACACACATACTTCAGAAATATTTATGAACCCTTAGAAAGGAAATAAATGAGAATGATCAATAGAGTGGAATTTCTTGCTTCAATTGCTCATAACCTCCCCCCTCCCATAATTCATCAAATCTCTGGCCTCATCCTACAGAAGCAGATCTGGACCTGGAGTTAGATTTAAGTCACCTCTTACCCTAAGACCTATGACTGCATGATTGCACATCACCTCTGAAACTCTCTAGCATAGCAACACTTCCAAGCATAGCAACAAGAGGAGTGTGTGAGCTGACTAAATTGAAGAAGATGACCTTTATTTGAATATCTATATATAGGTGGCATATATTCTTAATAAAATTTGACACATTTTTCAATAATATTGTGATATTTTGGAAGCAATATACTTCCATTGTAATGACATTTTTCTGTCTCCCAAGCTCATTAAAATGAGATCTTACCTGTATGCTATCTAATATTTAATAAGCCTGTCTCGGTTATTTCCCCCATACTTAAAAGTAATTCATGCAATGTAGAGAGTTTATGAAATAAGTTGTTATCAATAAAATGTGATTTCAACTAAAAGTTTTTTGATGCATTAATAAATAATAGGCTCAAATAATTGCTCTATTTTCTGATATTGTTCTTTATAAGCACACTGTGGTTTTGAATTATATAAGTGAAATGAATTTATGGTAGTAGCAGTTAATGAAAAATAATAAATATTCACAAAGGCAAGTATAATACAAAGAAAAAATTCCCCTCCAAAGTTGATAGAATGAAATTAGAATGAAATAGAAATTTTAATAGAAAATTCATTTCTTTACATAGGGGAAAAGAAACTCTGTTTAAAAATAAGTATCATGAGAAATCATCTCTCATATATTATCTGATAAATTATGAGTTACTTTACATTTAAGTAAGTGATTGAAAGCCTTGGAAATAGTAAAAATTATCATTTTAGATATAAATGTGACCAAATATGAAATTATTTCTTTCAAAGTTTAGACCTGGAATATAAATACTAATGATAAAATATTTAAAGAACACAAATTATTTCCAGCTTCTATGTACATACAAGTATCAATGGCAGAGGCTTTGACATGAGGTAAACCTGGGTTGGATTTTGGCTACTCTGTGAAAACAATTTCTGAGACTTGTTTTCGACCTTCTGTAAAATGGAGATTTTGGAATAATAATACCCACCTCATAGGGTTAGTGTATCATTTAAATGAGATAGTTAAGACTTATTTGCAAAAAGCTCAAAACATTAATTATTATTATTGTTAAATTTAGCATCTACTAAAAAGAATAAAGTGAAATATCGATGATAAATTAATCAACCCTGCAACTAACCTCAGGATTACTACCTATTCAGTCTAGTTTCAATTCTATGGCACTTAAGAAAATATCAATTAAATCACTTTGAAATAGCTTGCAATTTAAACACACCATAAATTTTTAAAAGCCTTGAATTAGTCTAAATTAATGTTGCTCTTACTATACCTGGGTCATCCTAAAAAACAGACTGTGTGAAGCATCACAATATGTGCAATAAATAACCAAACAGAGAAACATTATTTTGCATTGATTTTCTTTTTATTTTCTCTTTGAGAGAACATAAACTTTCACCAAAGGCCCATAAAGAGGAATTAGTCATACCATTTAATTAAATTGTTATAATTATCCCAGGAAGATTGGAAATCCTATGAATATACTAATCCATTGAAGACTAACAGCTCTGCAGGTTGGTTTTAACATCAATGGGTTCTCTGGCCAGCAGCTCTCCTCTATTTCTGCAAGAAAGTATCTTGTCCACTTACTATTTTAATTGTTTACTGTCTGTCACTTTTATTGGACTATATACTTCAGAAATTGGGACCTTGTCATTGTGCTCACTCCTCTCACCCCAGTGACTCCTCAGTGACTAGCATATGGCAGACATTCAATAAGTAGTTGTTGGATCCATGAACAGAAGTGGAAAATTGAGTAAGACAGCTAGAAAATAGTGACTATTTCTTCTGCTAATCATTCATGATCCATAGATTATATACTATACTTTTAAAGAGCCCCCAGTAATAGGGATTTTAGGTGGTCAGTATTAATTTGTTCAGGATATCCTCAAGTGTAACAAAACCTTTTTTCTTGATTTTAATTTAAGTATTTCTTTTGTTCAGCTTCCTCTGTGGTGCAGGAGCCATAAACTGCGTGATCCCTGCTTTTGAATTTAATCTAAGAATCTCTACAAAGTCAATGACATACCTAGTCCCAGCAGGTACATACCCTGAAGATGCCTACTTTCTCCAAAGTTTTGAAGAGAGATGGTGAAATATTGAAATGTTAAAGTCTGTAGATTTCTTAGTCGCTTTTGAGTTTCCATTGAGAAGGGAGAAAAATATAATGAAAATTAAATTTATTACAAGGAAGCTATTAAACTCATACTTAAGGGGTGAAGCATCCCATAGCTCAGTCAAATTGGGTATTGGAGTTTCTAGAAGAAAATATTATAATTCCATTCTTTTCAAAAAATCAGAACATACTGTATTTAAGATAAATGGTTCACATAAGATCAAGGCTTATAGCTAAAGCAGACTTGTGCTCTAAAATTTCATTTTTTCTCCTTTAAATAAATATTTTGTATATCACTTAGTAAGTTGTAATAACTGTAGCTGAATATTTACAAATGCAACCGATCTATGGGTTGGCATCAAAAAATTGGTTTTTACCTTCCATCTTAAATGATTCCTTATGATCTTCTAAAAGATCCGTGGACATATTTGAAGTGCTACAACAATTCAAATGTCATGTTGTAAGAGAAAGTAAAAACAAAGCTTCTCACTCAAGAAACAAAATTTAATCAGGTCAAGAATCATGTCTGAATCAGAGTTTATATTTTTCTAGTCTATACTAAATCTGTTCGATGATTCAGTGTTAACTCTGAATGACTCAAATGCTCTCACAAATTTATGGATCTGAAAGTTAAACCTACTTTAATTAAGTCTAATAATTGAAAATAAAGAATAATTTGAAGTCATCTCTTACTATGGAGATTGATGCAGCTGCTCAGAATTATTTCAATTGCTATGAAATTAACCACCGTGGGGATGGGGGTGGGGGTAGGGAGTGGAGACATCAGCTCTCTGAACCTATTGAAAGCTAGTCTAATCAGAGGCATTTTGCTGAAAGGCAGGGGTAGATGAGAAAAGAAGGTGAAAGAACAAAAAATCCTAGCTTCTTTTTCTTGTGTCTGGTTCTTGCAGAACGTATTAGTCACAAAAAGTATAGAAAATTTCTAGGGAACTTTCTTTTCTTGTACCCTCTAAAGAATCAAGGAACTTCATTAAATCATGGTGGAAGACTAGAAAGTCTTCCAAAGATAGGTGAAAGGAAGAGAAGAAAGGAGATGTGAATAAAGGCAAAAGTGAAGGAAAAAAGAAGAAAGGAAGGGAAGAACTGTTAGTTATTGAGCAATTCATATATATTAGGACTACTTTAAGGGCTTTTCATACACTTACTAATGTAAATCTTACATCAACCAAATGAGAAAATTACTAATATCCCCATTTTATGGATGAGAAACAGGCCCAGAAGGTAAGATGATAAGTGATCTTCCCAGGATCAGACAGTTATCTATAAGCAACACAGATTTAAACTTGGGTCTAGTCCACTAAATGCCTCCAGTCTTTTTAAATACTACTCCAAATGCCTTCCAATAATGATGAAAAATAACAGTGAAAACTTCCAGAAAATGCTGCAAGCAGTGTTCCTACTCATGTCCTCTAAACATAATTTTCTGAATGTGATAAAACTTAGTAATTTCACCCAGTTTATAACTTCACTTAGGGAGATTCAAACAAAGGCAGAAATACATAAATTACAATGATGACATGGCACAAAATACACATTTAATAACTATTTATTCTTAATAATTATGACGATAAAAACTACCTGTTAAAAAATAATGTATAATTAAAATGAATAGCTTAATGGTTTGTTTTATACTTAAAACTTGCTTAGGAGACAATGTTCTAGAATATGTTTGGTCAGAAGCAGAAGCTAACCACATGATAGAAAATGCAATTATTAAGTGAGTGAACCATGGGAATGGGGTGAGGCTGTGTATGTGTATGACTAAGTCAGGGCTAGCTACCCATAATTATTTGAACAGTGAGTTCATATCTACATATCCATTATTAATCTATTTTTGTTCATAACTGGAAATTTGTTTAGTTCATAAATAATTTAAGTGCAAGAAAGCAACAAAATAGTCAATTAAACTAGCAAACACATTAAAATTTGATAAATCTTAATTTTTCAAATATATGAGTTGACTGTTTTATAAATACAATAAAGTATTACAAAAAAATGAAAATAGCATCTAAGATTTCATAATTAGAAAGACAGAAAGCAGGTATTGCAGTTCTGTTTTATTTAGCTAAACTCATCAAACTAGACCTCACTTAAGAAGGAATTTATTTGATAAGCTTACCTGATATTTTATCCCTGACATAACTTGGTTTTCTGTATCTGGGCCAATTGTACCATCCTACCTTTTTCCACTTATGAAAAAAGTCAATTAATTCCACTTAAATGACTGTATAATTATATTCCTTCCAAAGAAGGCACCTATTAAAAAAGCAGTATGTATGATTATGAAGGTACTTACATATTTGGTTTCTCGACCAGCTGCTCTTGGAAGAGTTGTAGGAGTCTGTATGAAAATAAAAATAATTATACTTCTGAAATAATCAAGTATGTAATAAAAGATTCAACTTCTGGGAAGTGTTCAGCTTTTTGTAAACATTCTAAACATTACTTTCTCTTTTCTATATGAAATTATTTTAAAAATTATTTTATTAAATTATATCACTTTATTATTCTTTTTATTGTTTTTATCTATCAGCTTTCTGGTAATTTTCTCTTATGTAATTATTGATGATGTTAATTCATAGATCATAGTAATAGTTCCTTCATCACACGACTTCCATAATTTTTGGCTATTTCAAAATTCATATGGAAATTTCTATCTATCCTCTCAATTCTTTGAACTGCTCGATTCCAAAGATATTCTCTTCGACTCCATTTCAATCACTCATTCCCAAGACCATTGCTGGACTTTACCTTCACCAACAAAATGGAAAAACTCTGAAATTTTAATTTCAAATGTCCCACTCTCAGAAATTTTCCTACCTACCATTTCATTTCTCCAGTAACCACCAATGCAACATCCTTTTTAATGGGACTTCCAAATCACTGACCCTAACCACCTTTTTCTGGCTTTGTTACTTAACTCTTAGCATACATATATTTCATATTCTCAATCATTTTAATAGTTTCATTCTTCTTACCTCCCTCTCTTCTTGTGACAAATTCACTTACAAAAAGGAAAAAAAAACTCTAAATGGGAGTTATTATCCATTCTGTTCCATACGTAACTGAGAAGCAAAACATTTCTGAGGAAACTCAACCAAACTAACTGATTTTATTTTAAATTAATGTGCCCATCCTCCAAAGTAAGGTATCACAAAAATGGAAGAATAGGCAGTACATGATTATCAACTTCAAATGTGCACTCAGCACTTGCTGGTGAGACCCTGATTTTTCTATTGTAGGCCTATTTTCTGAGATGAAATGACTATTTGATTGATTCATCTATTCAACAAATATTTATTATATATCTACTGTGTGTCAGACACTGCTCCACACTCTTCAAAGTTATCAGTGAACAAAAGAGATGAAGATGCCCTGCCCTTGGAGAGCTTATATTCTAGAAAGAGAGAAAATAGACAATAAGATAATAAGTAAATTATATCATATGTTAGAATGTGACAAATACAATGAAAAAGAGTAGAAAAAAGTTGTAGCCTAGGGTAATACATTCTTCCAGAGGAAATTTTCTTTGCTTCCGCCAAACACCTTGTGTTTTTCTGGATCACCCAGATGTTAAGAGGTCAAAAGTGCCAGGGACTTGCAATTTCAAATAGGATGATCAATGTAGTGGAGGTGACATTTGAGCACAGACTTGAAGGAGGTGAGTGAGTTGGCTATGTGGATTCTAGATAAAAAGCATTCTAACAAGAGGGAACAAGTGAAAAGCTCTGGAGGTGGATTTTATCTTCTGAGAACAATAAAAAACTAGAAGCAATCATTCTATAAGGGACAATAAATAGGTTGAGCAAAATATTAAAAAAATATCAAAATATCAATAAGCTAAAAGGATAGTGATTAATTAGTGGGCAAGATCAGGAGAAGATGGAAATCTGGAAGTCCAGCTTCTGCCTTGGGGATGTTTGCAGATAATAATGAGTTGCTTAAGAAGCTGATCCAAACTTCCGATATCTCAGAGGTATAGGGAGATTAAAGTCAGAAACCAGAACTTGCCAAGAATGAATTGAGCCCCAGGAGTACTAGTGATCCACAAGACTTCATATGACCTTCAGCCTGGTCTCAAATCATCTGAAAATGATTGGCTAGAAAAAAAAAATCTCAAAACTTTAAATTAAAAGGTAATCCTTTTTTGCTAGTTCTCCCAGTATTTGGCAGAAGCAAAGAAAAGACTTACTATAGGAAAATAATATTATCTAAGGTCTCAAATACTTTCTATAAATAAATTTTCAAATAGAATATCCAGCACACAATCAGATTCAGATATACAAAGAGGCAAGACAATGTAAGGGAGAATGAGCAGAAATAATAAACAACCAAAAAAGACCCATAGAGAATCCAGAAATATTTTTTTTTTGAGAGCCAGACTGAAAACAACCATACTTAATCATGATTTTAGAAGTAAATGTTAAACTTGCAAATTTTTACAGAAAACTTGAAACTGTAAAATGTGATATAAAACTCATTTGAAAATGAATTATTAAATAAATGTGCTAAGACGGGAGCATGCTTGGCACATGCAAGGCATAGCAAGGAGGCTACAGGGCTGGGATGGGTAAAGGAAAGGGTCAGAAGAGAGCAGATCATGGAACTGTTGAGGTGTCAGATCATACAGACCTTTCCAGGACCTTGCAAGGACTTTGGCTTATACTCTGAGGGAAATGTGTAAGCACTGCTGATTTTAAGTAGAGGAGGACCATAATCTGACTTATACTTTAAAAGGATCTCTCATTTGATGTATTAGGAATGGATTATATAGTGAGGCAAATGGATAGGGCCAAAACTATTGTACTATTTATTTTTTTTTTTTTATTTGCCCCTGAACCTCATCCGGGATATTGTACTATTTAGTAAAGCATGATGATGGCTTGGCAGTGCAAAAGGCACAAAATAATCGTATTCCACATATTTTGAAGCTGTAGCAGCAGGCTCTCCAACAAAAGAAATGTGGAATGGGAGATGAAGAGAACAGTATGATTTGATGCTAAAGTTTTGGCCTTGAGCAAATGAAAGATTGAAATTCTATCAATGGAGATGGGACAGCAGCATATGGAATCGTTTTTGTGGGAGGAAATCTAGACTTTATTTTTACACATGTTGAGTTTGAGACATTTGTTAGAGATCTAAATGGAAATTAAGAGTAGGTAGTTGGAAATCTGGAGTTTTGGAGAGAATCTTGGACTAGAGGTATAAATTTGAGAGTTGTCAGCATAGTTGGTTTTCAAAACTTGTAACTGGGCGAGAGAACACCAGTGGAATGAACAGAGAGAGAAATGAGAAGTCGGAGGACTGATCGCTAGAGCATTCCAAACATTAGTAGGTGGGGAAGAAGAAAACCAGCCAGCAAAGGAGGCTAAAAAACAATAATGAAAAGCGAGGCAGGAGAAAAACTGACAGAGAATAATGTTCTAAAAAGCACTAGAGGAAAGTATACCAAAGAGGAGAGAGTGATCAGCTGTCTCAAATTCTGTTACTACATCATCTCAGATCAGGACTGCGCTTAGAGCCATGGGTAGGACTTGAGGAAGCTTGGAAAAAGTGGTTTGGGCAATGTGAAAAGAAGGCATTTAACAGGAAAGTTGCTGTGTCATCTCAGATCAGGACTGAGATTTTAGAATGGGTAGGATCTCAGGGACTTTGGAAAATATGGTTTGGGCAGTGTTAAAAGAAAGGATTTAATAGGAAACTAGAGAAGAAGAATTGAAAGCAGAATATATAACTTTTTTCAACTTTTTTTTTTCTCAAATTCTTTCCCATCACACCTCCTCTCTTTTTAAATTTATTCATTCATTCATTCATTCATTTGTTTTTGGCGGGTAGGTAGAGCAACACACCTTCTCATCTTAATCTAAGTTAGTGATCTTAGAACTTACTTCCTTGAAAAGTATTAGTTATGAAATAACTAACTAGAGACATTAGTTATAAAATTCTTCATTTTCCCACTTTCAACCTACAAATATTCTTATATCTGTACCTGTCATGTCTTTTATTTTCTGTCCTGTTACAGTAAAAGATAGATATTTCCAATTTCTTATCAAAGGGTCTGAGTCCATTTGGGCTACTATAACAAAACACCATAGACTGGGTAGCTTATAAACAACATAAATTTATTTTTCACAGTCTGGAGGCTGGGAAGTCCAAGATCAAGGCACTGGCAGCTTCAGTGTCTGGGGAGGACGCATTTTCTGGTTCACAGATGGCTTCTTCTTGCTATATTGTCACAGGGTGGAAGAGGCAAGAATCCCCCTCTCTTTGGATTCTTTTCTAAGGGCACTAATCCCATTCATGAGGGCTCCATCCTCCTGACCCAATCGTCTCTCAACAGCCCCAGCTTCTAATACCTTCACATTGGTGATTATTACAACATATGAATTCTGGGGGGACACAAACTTTCAGACCATTTCAGATACCTATTTGAATTAGGCTCCAGGTTCTGTGCCAGTTCTGAAGGAATTCTGTCCTTCGGTATTTCCCTTTCCTCTGTCGAATCAGTGCCTCTCTCTCTACTGAAAGCAATCCCACCAGAATACAAACTTTAGTTTGTTATTCCCAGCTTCAAAAAACAAACAAAAAATTCTTCCTTTACCCGCTACTGACCTAATTTCCTTCTCCTTTTCCTATCCCAACATTTCAAATAGTTTTTTGTTTTATTTTGTTTTTTACATATTCTGTCCCTACATTCTCACATGATGGCATTTTTCAACAGCAGAGATAAGGAGAGCAATGGGGTGAAGTAAGGGAGTAAAATTTGAGGACGATAAAAAGAAGTAACTATGAAGATAATGTCAAAGTGGCTCTTCAGCCTAGTGGGGGAGGAGAGAATGGTTAACTTCAGGCTTTGACAACTGGCCAGCCTCTGGTGAGTCCCCTGATCCCTTCCTCAGTGATGACGACTGAGACAGCTATTAGAAGAGATGTGCACCATAAGCAGAGATGCAGGGAGGCAGAGGCGAGGGTCAGGGTCACCACAGTGAGGAGAAGGTAGCAAGTGGGAGCTGGTTGACACTTTGGTGCTTCTCCATTCTGAGGTGCATGCTCCTCCTACTCTTAAAAAACTAAATAAACCTCACCAGAATTGGTAAATCCTAGGCTTTAGTGTCTGCCACCCCAAACACCAGGCATACACACAGCTAAGTTAGCTAAGATACCCAAGGAAATATGAGTTTCCATGTAAAGATAGTAAAACATCTGAAAAATGTAAATGCAGCAAAAGAAAAGAATGGTCCAGCCATTCCACTTCTAGGTATTAACCCAGGACAAATGAAAGCATATATCCGTACAAAGTCTTGTTTACAAATGTTCTTAGCAGCACTATTAGTTAGCTCTCCAAATTAGAAAGGATCCAATCTTCCATCAACTGGTGAAGAGACAAACAAAGGATGGTAGTTCCACACAATGGAATACCACTCAGTAATAAAAAGAAATGAACTACTGATCCATGCAATAATATAGATAAATCTCAAATTCCTTCTACTAAACAGAGAGTCAAAAGACAACATACTATATAATATTCTTAAAAAGGCAAAAGTGTAGGGACAGATTAAAAGACCAGTGGTTGCCCAGTACTTGGGTTGCAGGGAAGGATATACCAAGAAGGAGCACAGGGAACTTTTTCAGTTGAGGAAATTTGTATCTTGAATGTGGTGATGGTTACACAATCGGATTCTTTGTAACTTCATAGAACTGTACATGAAAAGGTTGAATTTTACAGTGATTGAATTATACCTCAATAAACCTGACTTTAAATGAAAAAAATTATGTATGCTACAAAAAAAACCCTTAATTTATGGATTGAAGAACAGAATATAGACCCTGAACAAATTCTTGAACTGAAATATCAGATCAAGGAATACTCTTGAAGAAATTAGAAATTAATTAATGGAAGAAAAATATAAAAAAATAGGAGACAGGGAATATGGAATCAAAAGTGGCAAAATCAGTATTAGAAGAGTCCCAGGGAAAAAGAAATATTTCAAAAAATAATGACTAAAAATTATCTAGAATGTAAAGAGAAGAAGAGATCGAAGACTTTACATGAAAAATCAGAGTACCAATTAAGATACCTGGGAAAAAATAATACACACCTAGACATATTATGAGGATCTAGGTAAGAGCATGTATAAAGGTAAAATTTCAAAATCTTGCAGCGTCTACAATGATCAGTCTACAGCAGAGGAACAAATACCATGCTAACAAAGCACTTCATAAATACGTTGTTGAAGAAAAAGAACATCGGGGGGAGGGGGGAAATGTTGAAGAGAAAAGACCTATGATTTTACATCCAACAAAACTATAAGTTAAAACAAAGGGCAAAATAAAGATATTAATGTGGACATAGACCACAAAACCTACACAAAAAGACCCTGTTGAATACAATTTTCAGTAAGATTCTGAATAGAAAAATAATAAATCTAGGAGAAAGCTATCAATGTGCATGAAATAAGGATTTAAGTAAAGAATAAGTCTCTAAAGATCAAGAAAAAGTATAAACATAAATTCAGACAAAAAATACTAGTAAATTATATGTGTGTGTGCTTGTGTGTGGTGTGTGTACAGCTGATTAAAAACAGCTAATGTCTGATGGAGTTAGGTGAGTGGCATTTCGCAAACAAGAATTCAGAGCCTAGTACATCTCTAGCAGTGTCTGCCACCAATGGTGAAATGCCCACATGGCAGCTACAGAAAGGCCTGAGAAAACTAGGGTGAAAAAGAGGAGGAGAAGGAAGAAGAAGGAGGAAGGTGGGTGCATATACAGAAATGTTGAGCAGCCAGAGAGCATATCAGATCACATGTACCAGATGGCAGTTATGGCCATGGTGACCAAAGATGACCATCTTAACAAAGACAGATGTGTGTGCCTAGCCCTGGTTCACAATATGGCAGAATGCATCGTTGGGGACATAGCGCCAGCAGATAATATCCCCAAAGAAGAAAAACATAGGCGAGAAGAGGAAGCTATGAAGCAGATAACCCAGCTCCTACCAGAGAACCTTGGAAAGGAGTTCTATGAACTTTGGGAAGAGTATGAGACCCAGTCTACTGCAGAAGCCAAATTTGTGAAGCAGCTGGACCAACTTGAGATGATTCTTCAGGCGTCTGAATATGAAGACCTGGAGAACAAACCTGGAAGACTGCAGGACTTCTACGATTCCACAGCAGGAAAATTCAGTCACCCTGAGATCATCCAGCTTGTCTCTGAACTTGAGGCAGAAAGAAATGCTAACATAGTTGCAGCTGCCAGTGAGCCACGCTCCTGAGATGCTGTCTGCGTTGCTGTCCTGTAACCAACATTTTATTTTTATGTTTCATGGTATTGCCATTGTGGTCTGTTGATTTCTCTAGATGTGTCTGCTTATTTTTAATTGGACTTCAGCAAGAAATGTAATGTAATTTGGGCACTAAAGGAAGCCGTGGAACAGGAAGTGGCAATGAACATGTCATGGATGAAGACCGGAGGGGGGAGTAATGCCTTTTTTATGAACAAAATAAATATTAAATGCCTAAAAAAAAACAGCTAGAAAGTGAAAAGTGTTATAGTAGTTATAAAATTTTAGAAAAAGGCATGTATAACTTTTAAAATTGATAGAAAAATAAACATAATCATTGTCTTTAATAATGTATTTATAGCTAACAAAAGCGACAAAATATAAAATAAAATTTTAAAACCAGTTAATGTCAAAATATCCAAAGTAAAGCAGGAAAGACAGAAAGGAAACAGGCATTTTAAATACAAAGCATGAAATAAAATAGCCAAACTTGTTCTAATATAACAAGAATTACAATAATTATAAATGGCTTAAGATCCTTGATAAACAGAATCTGACTGAACATAAAAGTCATATCCAGAAATAAGTTGTTCTGAAGAAAATTAGATAAGAAGGTATAAAAGATAAAAAAAGAAGATATATTAATGGCCAAACAAGCATATGAAAAAATGCTTGATATGTTTAATAATCAGGGAAATGCAAATCTAAACCACAATGAGATGTCACTTATCTCCAATGAGAATAGCTTTTGTCAAAAATTCCCAAAACAATAAATGTGGATGTGGAGAGATAGACACACTCCTACATTGCTGGTGGGACTGCAAACTAGTACAACCTCCATGGAAAGTAATATGTCGACACCTCAAAGAGATACAAGTAGAACTACCATTTGATCCAGCAATCCCATTACTAGACATCTACCCAAAGGGAAAAAAGACATTCTATAAAAACAACATCTGCACTAGAATGTTTATAGCAGCACCAATTTACAATTGCAAAGATGTGGAAACAACCCAGGTGCCCATCAATACCTGAGTGGATTAATAAAATGTGGTATATGTATACCATGGAGTTCTACTCAGCCACAAAAAATAATGTTGATCTAGCACCTCTTGTATTATCCTGGATAGAGCTGGAGCCCATTCTACTAATTGAAGTATTCCAAAAATGGAAAAACAAGCACCATATGTACTCACCATCAAATTGGTATTAACTGATTAACACTTAAGTGCCCATATAGTAATAACATTCATCAGATATCAGGCAGATGGGAAGGGGCATGAGAGGATGGGTATATATACACCTAATGGGTGCAGTGCACACCGTCTGGGGGATGGACACACTTGAAGCTCTGACTTGAGTGGAGCAAAGGCAGTATATGTAACCTAAACATTTGTACCCCTGTAATATGCTGAAATTTTAAAAAATTTAAAAAAGAATAGAGTCTAATACTTTACTATTTAAAAAATTGTAATGGCACTAATATGTTTATTGCAGCACAATTCACAATTGCAAAGATATGGAATCAACCTAAGTACCCATCAACTGATGAGGGAATTGAAAAAATCTGGTATATATGTGTGTGTATACACACACACACACACACACACACACACACACACACCATAGACTACTACTCAGCCATAACAAAGAATGAAACAATGTCTTTCACAGCAACTTAGATGGAACTGGAAGCCATTATCTTAACTGAAATATCTCAGGAACAGAAAAACAACTACAGCATGTACTGACTTATAAGTGGGAGCTAAACGATGGGTATACATGGTCATACAGAGTGGTATAATGGAATTTGGAGACTCAAGCCGGGAGAGAGTGGGAAAAGTGGGGAGAGATCAAAAACAACCTATTGAGTACAATGTATTTTGTTTGGGTGACCGGTACACTAAAAGACCTGACTTCATTACTACACAATTCATCTGTGTAACAAAAAACCACTTGTACCCCCTAAATCTATTAAAATAAAAAATAAATTATGATTGCTAGAAAAAAATGATTGCTATTCACTAAATTAATTTCCCAATTCACTATTGAGCCTTGATTTGCAATTTGAAAATCATTGATCTAGTAAACCTTATGATGCAGTAAATTATATTAAAATATATACATACTTTGATTGTGTCAGAACCCAACAATGTCTGTGGGGACCTTGAAGGAGAATCAGAGGAATACTGAAAAAAAAAAGAAAGAAAGAAGGAAAGAAAAAGAAAAGGACAAGCCTGTAAGGTATCATGCTAAAGTAGAGGGAAATGAAGAGAAGCAAAGCAAATATTTGAATTGCACATTCTAGTCTAAGGCATTACCATAGACAAGGAATCCTGTAAGACCTTATCAATGGTAGCACAGAGCTCTTCAGTTTGCTGCCTGAGCTGTGCAGGGAAACACAACTGGAAGAATTGAAACCAGGTACTGGGTTAGAATGAGTTTTGAGATTGCATACCAAAAGCAGGGGAAATTTGAAGTTATTACCTCCACAGGTAGATCTAACAGGTTGTCCTTGGAGACACTCTCAGTCTTGGCTGGTTCATCTAATGCCTAGTGATAAACGAAATAGTTCTCATATGAGGTTTCTGGTCACATACAAATGTAGTAGAAAAGTCTCCTCATAGACTTTTCAAAGCCCTGTATACATCAATATTTCCAAGAAAAAATCTGAATCATTCAATGAGCTATTCTGGAAAGGCATTTTCCACATTTGTTCAGTTGGACCTATGAAATTAGTATCTCCAATATAAGGTGTTACAATAATGAAAAAAAGTTAAGGACTTTTTTCTGTTTTACTTTGATCCCAATTTTTCTATTTCATTTTTTAATTTTTGAATTTTTTAGTTAATTAAACATGGAGTTGTTTTCTTATCTGTTTTTTTATTCACTAATTTGGACATGTGGCAGAGACAATAATAGGTGTTCATCAGATACTTTCATTTTCTTGAGCACAGTTATACAACATTTTCTTGGCCTCAAGAATTTGCATGTGGGCTTGTGACTGACTTTTTGTGGAATGCGATCTAAAGTGATGTGGAACTCCTGCTGCAATGCAGTTCACCATCAATATGAGTTTCATCATTCTCTCTCTTATATTCAGATAACTAAGATGCAAGATGGAAGGAGACAATGATACTGAGTCATTATTAGAGAAGAGCCATGTGGGAGAGCTAAGTTGAGCTACATCAAACTATGATGAAGGAAGGAAAGAGATGTTGATTGCATTAAACTACTGAAATGTCAGGGTTTGTCTGTTGTGGCAGTTAATGTTGCTTACCCTAATATAGGCACCGTACATTATATATTTTTCGAAATCAGCCTTGAAATTTTTCCACTCATACCAAGGTCTCACCCAAGCAATACAAAATCTTAGAATACTTCCCATAATATGTAAGAATCTTGCAATGTACAATTCAATTTACCCCCACCCCTTGTTTATATGTTCTAATTGCCAATTAATTACATTTAAATATGTTCTATGCATGTTATTATGTTGTAAGTTTTGCTTTAAACAGCTCTATGATTATAAAGAGGTTTTATAAAATAATATTTTATAGTTTCCCACATATGCATCATTTCCCCATGCTCTGCCATCCTCTCTGAAGTTCTGTGTTTGCATTTCCCATGATTTCCCTTCAACGTGAAAATTTTCCTTAGCTCTTTTCATAGAGCAAGTCTGCTATCAGGAATTCTTTTATATTTCTTTTAGCTGAAAACATCCTTGCTTTGTCTTCTTTCTTCAAGGAATTATTCCTGGACATAGAATGTAGAGTCTCCTTTTCTCTTTCAGCATTTTAAAGGTGTCATTCCATTGTCTTTGGCCTCCATTGTTTCTAATGAGAAGTTAGCTATTGTTGTATTTTGTTCCTCTGTATATTATTTTTCTCTGCTGCTTTCAAGATTTTGTCTCTATATGTTATTCTTAGCAGTTTGATTATGATGCAGGTAGACTTTTTTAAATTAAAAATGCTTAGGATTATATGAGCTTCTTAAAGATACGCATTCATCTTTCTCCAAGTTTAGAAAAATTTTGGCTATTAGTTTTTCAATTTTTTTTTTCATTCCATTCTCTCTCTCCTCTCCTCCTGGGACTCCAATTACATTATCTCACAAGTCACTGGAGCTCTATTCAATTATTCCTTACTTTTCCCTTTATTTTTCAAATCAGGTGATGTCTATTAAAACATATTCAAGTTCACTGACTCTTTTGTTATCTCCAATTTTTTTTAAACCAACATAGTGATTTTTTTATTTATAATATCTTATTTTTCAGTTCTAGAATTTCCACTTGATATCTTTTTATTATAGTTTCTATCTTTGTGCTGAGAATTCTTATGTGCTAATTTATTATGAGCATATTTTCCTTTACACCCTTGAGTGTATTTATAATAACAGCTTTAAAAGCCTTGCCAAGTAATTACAAAATCTGGAACACTTTAACTTGATCTCTAGGAATTATATTTTACCTTGAGTATGAGTTACATCATTCTATTTCTTTGTGTGTCCAAAATTTCAGACTATAGCTAGAATATTTTGAATATGTTACAAGGACTCTGCATTCTGTTATGGTAACCTGAAGGGTAGTATTAGTGTAGTATTCAGTTTTAACATGCAGTTAATTTGGCTACTAAGTAGGCAGCAGCTGAAATCTTTATTCCATTGCTTTATCCTTTTCTGGACTTAATGGGCACATTCAATAATCATCCAAAGATTGGGGCAGAGTTTTTATAGAGCATTTGGGGCTCCCCTTCTATGACTCTCTCTTCTCCTGGACTCTCTCCTCACTTTCCAGTTCTCCTGTGACCTTACACTCTATTCTCCGATTCTTCACCCAGTACCCTTCAGGTTTCTTACTGAGGTTTCACTACTTCATGGTGAGCAGATAAGGGGCTACCCGTAAAGTTAAAAAAAAAAAAAAAAAAAACTATAAAATCTAGAAAAGACCCAATGCCATTTCCTCCTTACAAGCATTCACTCTACTGAAGTTTCTATCTGTTATGGGTTATGCACCAGTACCTTCAGACAATTCTTTTTTATATGTTGTTCAGAGTGTATTATTGTTACCTACAAAACAGTTGTTGCAATATAAGCTACTTCTTCATTTCCAGAAGCAGAATGAGGCAAACTAATTTAAATTCAAATGCAATTTTAATTTTAATTTCAATTGTCTTTATCACAAAGATCATATAAATTCAAATATCAAACCTCCCTCAGGGTAAGCTTATGGTTAAATGATTTTTTTTCTACTTTCATCCCAGACTAATATAAGAAATTGTGTCTATCATTTCCCTTTGCATTTTTTTCCTTATTCTTCTTGTAACTGAGAGTATAAACCTTCAAAAATCCTGGCTATGTGATGGGGATGCAATTCCAGTTCTCTGTGTCACTCAGCCCCAAGTCTTTCCCTTCCCTTGCCAAGTTGACCGTAAATCCCAATTCTTATGGTTCATGAGCTTAATACCTTCAGAACAACCAAACCATCAGCACCCTGATTGTCATCCTGTTTTTGGTATTTGACCCTTGGAGATTTCCCCTTCTTTTTTATGAGCTCAGCTTTAAATTGGGTTAAACCACATGAAATTGCCAATCTTCAGCTAACAATGACCTACCAAGATGGCAATTTCATGTGATTCAACCTATTTTTAATGCATTTTTTCAATCTATCTAGCTCCAATCCACTTTCAAAGTTTGACAATCTCCCACTATTATGGTTTTTCAAAAAATATGTGCCATGAGTTCTAAAGGCAATTACAAAAGAGGTTGCCAACAATGTGATAAGTAATTGCAGACTAATTAGAGCAAGTAGCTGGTTCCTCAAAGCAGTTACGTTCAAGAGAAAAATGATCACTTGAATATATATATTCTGATAAATTTGTAAACAAAACACTCAGGTTTCTATTGTCATGTCTTATGTAACATTTTAGAATTATACACTGTCCTGTCCTCTTATTTAGACTTACCTCCTAGCATTCATTTCTTTATTAACATTCCTTTATAGGTATATATGCTAACTACAAGGTGTTACACCAGCCATGAAACCATAGAATCCATTGCTCATCAGAATCTATTTTCCTCCTTCTAATAGAGCCACAAATACAACAGACCCAGAACTATTAGCCTTTTCCAACACATACTGTGTTGAGATGTTAGAGCTGCCATGTTGGCATAGGATATACTCATAAGAATTCAGAAAAGTGACATCTAAAAGATAAGATTTCATAATCTTCACATCATTATAATAGCTCACAAAGGAAAATATTGTCTGGAAATTTTTGTTTTCAAAATCCACTTCTCTGTATTAAATAACAATATTTGGAAGATTGGCTATAATAACCTAAGAAAAACACTTAGGGGTGCCTCTTTCTTACCATAAAAAAAAAAATTTTGTCTTATGCTTTCTTCCTTCATCCTTTAAAATTCTGATTGATCATAAAAAATGGTTGGCAAGGAACAGAAAATTTCATAAAAATAACTCCTAGGTAGCGTGTTCAGATGGTTTAATTTTTTCCTCATATGGCGTTTTCATCATTTCCAATTTGCCTCGTTGATTGGGGAAGAGGTTCCTTCCCTAGTGTTATAGGAGTGGATGATTATGTGACCCCTGATGCTGGACAGATAAAATCCACAACAATTTATTAGTCACATTTATTCGCAGTCCCGGGGAAGGAGGACACCGCACACCATGCAGGGTCACACAGAGTTGCACTAAGGAACAGGGTGAACAGCCAGGGGCTGTGGATATCAAGAGAGTGAGGTGCCTTTGGTCTGAAGGATATAGTTGGCTTGTTTGAGTAATTCCCTGGGAACTGGAACCTACTGCTAAGGCACAAGCAGGACCGCACCTGGTCAATTTGACAAGGAGGGTAGTTGCTTGGCTAGGGGACCCGATCTGCAGGAGCAGAGTGAGGAGGACACGTGCAGCTGGTCCATTTAAGGATCTCCCAGCGTCGCCAGATGTCAAGGCAGCACACAACACAGAGACTTAATTTTAGGCCTTGCACCACACGTGATGTCTACTGTAGTGATAATTACAGAGAAGGCAAAGGTCAGAAGTGAAAAGCCAGGACTACGAACAAACTCCTCAGGAGGGATTTTGTTCTGACCCTTGCTCACCTTTCCAACAACGTCTTCCATTTGCTCCTTATTTGCATGCTGCTCTTTAGCCACAAAGAATTGCTTGAGTTCTTTGAATTTGTGCTGATCTTTTGTACTACCTGTTACTAACCCTCCTTAGATCATCCTTCCTCCACTTTTATTACGCTCAGAGAATTCCTATTCATCCTGATGATACAAATCATACTGCTTTATAATGACTTTCTTGGCCCTCACAAAATGGCCATTTCCCTGGTTGGGGCACCATACCACTTTGCACATACCATAAGCATATCATATCATAATTACTTTTTAAACTGTATCTCTACCCTACTGGACAATTTGTCCTATTAAGCTCAAGAAAATATAGTATTTATCTTTGTAACCCTAGGACAGAAAACATGACAGGTGCTTAGTAAAGAACTTCAGGGTGGATTACAGGGTAAACCAATGAACAA